TTTGGTGCTGATGTGAAATGGCCACCCTACCGCGTGTCTTGAGAAAACTGCGGTTAGTTTGATTACTCACACCTGGCTGGAGGCAGCAGCACCTGTGGAGCCAGGCTGTGTGTTTGGGGATTGGATGAAGTCTGGCTTTATCTCTCCTCCTGGGATTTCTGATCATATCTACACCTATTTATCTTTGCTTAAATTATGTTAGTTTATCTTGTGTTAGCATAATTAAGCACCAACCCTTTAAACTGTGAATATGTAAAATTTCACTAGAAAAATGACAGAATCCAACCACAAATATCTCAAACTTTTTTCACTTAAGAGATTTCAACCTTTAATCTTTTATTAGTTATATCTAAGTGTCATTTGCATTTTTGATTCAAAGGTGCAATCTTTAGCTTTGAATAAAAGGCGTTTCACCTTTTCACATTCTTTGACATCAGTGGTGTCTTTTAGGTCTTTGCTGACATAAGAAAAATATATATTTTAGAGATATTACTGAAGTCTCTTTCTGATCCGCCACTAATCCGGTTACATATTTACTCAGGTAGAGATGCCAACGGAAAGGATACTTCTTGGCCAAAAGTAGTCCTCCCTCCTAATGGCATAATTAAAGTTTTTGACTTTTCTTCTGTGAGTGAAATTATTTTTCAAACTTTTGACTCAGACCTGAAATGAAATAGACATGTTTTTGATCGAAATATGGTACAGTCTTGTTTTTTAGGGACTGTTGGCATATCTGGGTACAGGGACAGGGCTAAGAGTCAGCTAAAAGGCAACCAAAGCCTAAAGATAAGATTAAAAAAAGTATTGTGATGGAGATATTTGAAAGATCGCAGAAAATCTTCAGAAAGAAAAAACTTAGTTTGGACCACGAGGTTTAGGTTAGAGGTAAGTTTTAGGTTAAAACTTCAAAAAAGGTTGACTGGAAGAAAATTTAAAACCCAAACTACACTTTTTTGATTTTATAGCCTTTTATGTTAAATAGCATTATGGTGACATGTATTAAAGTAGGCCATAAATTCAGCTTTTGAATTAAATTCTTAATTAATATTGTTAGTATTTCAAAACATTAAGATTTTTCTTTTTTGTTTTTAAGCTGCACAACTCCCTGCTCTCCTGCACAGAAATCCCATTTGTTTCCCAGAGCTGGCAGAGCTCCAGACCTCCTGCTGCTCCTCTGTTGGTGGCATTGGCCCCACACTAAAGGGGCCCCCCTGCTGTGCTTCAAGGCTTTCTCTGTCCCAGAGCATTTATCCGTCTCAGGTCAGGACTTCACCAGGCAGCACTTACAGGATCCCCTGAAGTTTGGCTCGTGGTCTGTGCTTGTGTTGCGTTCACTGACCTCCATTCTGTCAGGAGATGAGGCCGCCTCAGCTGGCGTGTCCGAGCCCTCCTCCTCCTCCAGCGTAGCTCGCTTGTAGCTGGACATCTGCAGAGTGAAAAATAGATCTTGGGTCGGTAGATGTACATTGTAAAATAAATTCTGTTACATTATTGTTGCAAAGAACATGTTTTTTAAATGGAAATAATATGCAATCCAGAAATATAATTCTAAAAACCATATTTTTTAAACATTTTCTTTACAGATATTATACGTCCTTTTCTATTTCTGTTTTTCAGACTGATTTTATAAATTATATTCTTTAAAAATTTATTTCCATCATTTCCATGCAGACCAATAGAAACTCCTGGGGAACGCCAGCCCCAGAAGTGAAGATCATGTGATCATAAAATTCAATCTTAAAAAGTAGGGAAAAAAAATGAAAATATAAAATATGTTAAAGATAAAATTCAGAAAAATAAAATTATAAAATACGAAAAACACATTTGAAAGAAAAGATTTTCTAAAGTTTTTTCAAAAATTCAATTTACAAATAATGTTGTGATAAAAATATTCTGTTTGCAACATTAATGGAACAACATTGAGTCCATCGTAGTGCATCATATTTAACTTAAACAAAGATTCGGACATCAATGAGTTGCGTTTCTCCCTGCATCGATCTGCTGTGTCTGTCTGGGTCAGGCTGAAAGGTGGACCGCTCCTCTGGGACAGGAAGCTACATCTGACACCGCCACTCGGTGTGAAACAGGTTTATTCTCCCCGCTGCAGGGAGGATCCATGAGGATTCACAGCAGATCAGACATTTCATCATCACCACCTAAACCTTTAAACTCACATTTGGATTTGAGTTGTGTGTTAAAGGCAGGAGGACAATAAGCCTCCCACTGCTAAAGCTGGGGGCTTTGGTAACATTTTACTTTATTTATAGTGTATTTAGTTCCAATCAGAGCTGCTTAAAAACCCAAACTCCAGGGAAATCAAGCTAAGAGAATAACCATTATCATTTCTGAAAAAGTGAAAATAAAAACAAAATGCAACCTTTATGGAGCCTAAAAGAAAATGTGATTGATAAACAAGATGGAATATCTGAAAACTTCTTTTTTTCATTCAAATCTCAGACATCATTTACTTGATGATGCTGTTTTTTCCACCAGTGGAGGTCTAAGTGAGTGAGCCTTGCTGGGGGAAAATTAAGCAGC